AGGCTCGCGGCACCACCCGCCCCAGTAAATCACTGAAAGGGACGCAGCAGTATCGTCACCGCGCGGAGCTCCGTCGTCAGTGAACGCCAACCCAGCATGGACTCGAGAGACAACTCCCGAGACCGCCTGCGCGACCGAGACGATTCCCCCGAAACTATACAGACGTCCGAGATTGCAGAAGAGGAGGAGGAAGATCTGGATGCTGTCAGTGACGTGCTCGATTCGTACTACTACGACGAAGACGACGACGACGATGAGGACGACAATCAGAACCCTCGCCAGAGGACGACAGATCACAGCAACAGGGAGCGTCTCAGTCCGTCCCCGGTACCCAACGATCTCGAAACCCCGGAATTATCAGAGACACCATCGCGCGATTTCGACTCACTAGACTCCTTTCAGTCGTCGGAGAGCTTGCGGCAATGGGGCGAGAATCCTCTTCCACACATCAACAATGGACAGACGGAGAAGAGCCTACTCAGAAGCCCCTTGACGATCCAAGTGCCCTCGGGTCCAGGCTACAATGACACCGCTAGTGTCGACGAGGAAGCGGTCCGCGACATGAACGCGGTCGATGCAGCAACCACCAGCCCGACAAACTATGTCTACAGCCCCAGAACAGTGGCAGCCGCAGTCGAGCTACCCAGTGCACAACAGTCGCGAGCTTGGCAACGGTCGAACGTCCAGCAACCTCAGAGGGTCTCCGTCACGCTGGCTGCGTTGTCGCTAGGCACTTCGAACGCGACGCATCGTGTAAAGCAGGGGGACAGAAGCAGCTGTAGCCGTACCCACATGACCGAAATCCGTCGTGAAATATCCGGACTTCCACGAATACCGACAAGCAAAGCACGACTTTCGCGACAAGACTGGGCGGCCATTGAGTCCTATTCAAAACGGCACAGCAAGCGGCCAAGTACCTCTCGCACTATTTCGACCGAGTCGTCGGCCAGGACGCATGACGGCGTGCAGTCTCCGCCCCTGGGCAAGTCTGAGCCGCTGCCTGAGGTAGATGAGGACGAGGCCATTCCTCGGCGTGCATCCACCAGTGTGTTTGACCGCAAAAGTACCTTGTTCGATCTGGGCATGATGGCCCCACTTGCCACGTCAAAGGGCAAACCTGCCAACTACCTAGACACCTCACCATCATCAAGTCGACAGCCAGACCCGACTTCTCCTACCCTCCAAAAGAAGCTGGCGCCCGTCGAAAGAGATCGTTATGGCTTCAAGAAGGCTTCGGACAAGGTCAACTTGCAAGAGTACAATGCGTGGGCCGCAAAATACGAAGAGCACATTTGCCGGCGGCGGGCCAAGTGGCATGCTTTGATGCAGAAGCAAGGCCTATCCACACACGAACCATCAAAGTTTCCAGAAATGTCGGACAAGGTGAAGCGGTATGCGCGCAAAGGATACCCTCCGGAGTGGCGCGGCGCCATGTGGTGGTACTATTCAGGTGGCCAGCACATTATGAAGCAAAAGGGCAATGTCGGTCTTTATGCCTCATTGGTCGAACGCGTGAAGCGCGACGAGCTCAACAAGGACGACAGAGATGCTATCGAGCGCGATCTGGACAGGACCTTTCCCGACAATATTCACTTCCGTCCCGAGCCGGCCACGGACCTGCTGGACGGAGAAACCGACGAGGAGCCGGCTCTCATCCAGGACCTGCGCGAGGTCTTGTCCTGCTTTGCGTTGAACAATCCAAACATTGGCTATTGCCAATCGCTCAACTTTATTGCTGGTCTGCTGCTCCTCTTCCTGAAGCAGGACAAGGAACGCGCCTTCATCATGCTGACCATCATCACGCAAAATCATCTGCCAGGTGCACACGCGAGGAATCTTGCCAACACCGAGGTCAACGTCTTGATGATGTTGATCAAGGACTACCTGCCCAAGGTCTGGGCCTCGATCAACGACACCGACATCATCAACACGGGACCCGGCTCGCACGCGCATCCCATTTCCAAGTTTCAGCGTCAACCTACGGTTGCCTTGTCATGCACCTCGTGGTTTATGAGCATCTTTGTCGGCGTGCTGCCGATTGAGACTGTGCTCCGCGTTTGGGATGCCTTCCTGTACGAGGGGCCGCGTGCTCTGTATCGTTATGCACTGGCCATCTTCAAGCTTGGCGAGCCCGAGATCCGCAAGTACCAGCCTGGCGACGGCGAACTGTACATGACGGTACAGAACCTGCCCCGGACCTGTCTGGACATCAACATGCTGCATGACATTGCCTTTGTCAAAAAGGGCTTTGGCAACCTGTCGCAGGCCGTGATTGACGAGAAGCGCATGTTCTGGCGAGAACAGAACAAGATGGCGCATCAGACTTCTGTCAAGACGATCCGCAACAAGCAGCTCCCGGCCAACGACGACGAAGACACGGACCGCGACAGCCTCCGGAAGGTCATGGGCATGACGGGTCTGCGAAGACGGGCGTCTAGGAAATTCCGCAGGATGAGGAATTAAAAGGGCCTCGGCCCTCAAACGAAGACGATTGTTTTTTACTGGCTGGGGACAAGAATCTTCGTCGTCTCTGTCAGCATCGTTGTGCTCAAAGAGTGCATTTCTAGCATCGTCGTCGACTTCATCATCATCATTCGTCGTCATTTGCCAAGAAGACGCATACATTATTCATTCTTTTTCTCTTGCACATATGCACATATGCGGTCCTGGTACACAAGCAAGACCAAACAGAGGCAGCAAAAATAACCGGCGTTTTCAATCTAAACACGGCGTGAGGAGGTGTTTTGTTGCATATCAAGTAAACGGGCAAAGTGCTTTATTTGGGTTTGATTTTTTTTTTTTTTTTTTTAGTTTTCTCACCTCTTGTGTGAGATGGTTCTTGTTCGTTTTGCTTTTTTGGGCGAGGGGAAGGAAGGGGGGGGGCTTTTTTTGGGTTCCTTGTATACTATTATTACGATATACCCCTTCTTCTTCTTTACATCCTTTTCATGTTGATTTTTGCATCGTGCGTTTGCGGCACTGGCGTAGAGGGGAATGAGGGGCAACAGTAGGCGGATTTCTCATCTTTCCTCAGCGGGGGCTTGGGGGGTTCGTTTGCTGTCGTGGCATGCGCGATGGTATCCTCCTCCATCGGCCCTCCTCTTCTATAGAGACAGTGAGAGTGAGAGAGAGAGAGAGAGAAGGAAATATACATGGCACGTTGTCCTATGTTGTAGACTTTGGAGTTTGTGCAATATGTCATGTGCAACAGTAACATCAACATGTCAAGATTTGCCATGCTTGGACTTTGTGGTTTTGCGTGTTTGAGCTGGGGCGGTGCTGGGTTTGTCTGGGTTTGTCTGGTGGTGGCGTGGGTGTAGGTAGACAAGGTATACATCACACGCACACATTCTCAACCGCCTCCTTCCGACTTCATTGTAGACACTTTGAATGACCGTCTGAGAGGAATGCTGCGCAAGGAATATGCCGATGAGTCGGGGAGGGGGGAGGAGGTGTGTACTCGACGAGGAGGAAATGTGCTACCACCACGACTCCCAGTCCAGCACAATACAGCATCACACAAAACACGACACCCTCACGCGCCAAACCAGAGCCAGCAGATTCACTCATCCACTTGCTTCTTTTCTTTTTCGAATATTCTTATTCTTGGTATTGCTAGGATCATCGATTGGGGCAAAAAAAGCTCGGGGCATGTGTGTTGTAGCTTTTGTGGTTCAATCGCCCGTTTACTAATTCGTCGGTCCAGTGGGCAATCAAGCCATCATTCAATCAATCAATCGACGGATCAGCCAAGACGTCTGCGGTCGCGCGTCAGACGGGGCTATGTACTCTAGGTTGGTGGTGCAGATGTGGGGTTGGGTGTGGGTTGGCTTGTTGGGGCGTGTGTCGGAGGAGGCTCAGGTGTGGAATCTTGAAGGTTTCGTTCTTGGGGGTATGGGAGAGCGGGGGGTGGGATTCTATGTTTGTCCATGTCCGGTTTAGAAAAAGATGGTGGAGAAAGGGTTGACAAAGACCGGCAAGAGTTGCCCTCTACCGAGTTACTGCTTCCCTTGGTGCTCCTTCTCCTTCTCCTCCTGCTCCCTCGACAACCGATCATGCTCGTCGATATCCGTCGCCTCCCAGGGATAATTAATCCAGACATCGCCCACCGTCCTGGCCGCACTATACCGGCCCTTGAGAATCTCCTGCGGCAGCACGCCCTTCTTCGTCTTGTCCTTGTTGTGCAGGACAAAGATGCTAAAGTTTGTCTTTTCGCCCTCGCGCCCGAGTTTCTTGACCGCAGCCTCGACGTCCTTTTCCAGCTCGCGGACGGCGTATTCGAGCGTGGTGCGTGTGTCGTCCACCTCGTCGACTATGAGCACGTTCTTGCCAATCAGGTTGGCCATTTCGAGCGAGGAGAGGTCCAGCCATTGTGTGCGGGTGACTTTTGTGCCGGGCGTTTCCACCTCGGCATCTGCGCCTGTGCCGAGCTGTTCGTATAGGGAGAGGCCGATGGCTTGGATGGGAATGTTGGGGTTGCCGTCGCGCTTGAGGAAGGAGCTGAGGGTAAATGTGCGGTTAGTGGTTGGGTTGTGAGTGTGTCGAGCGCGAGCAGACCAGAGCGTACCGGAGGATGCGCGCGGGGACGTAGCCACCGCCACCAATGGCGATCATGAGGTTGGGCTTGAAGTCATCGAGGATTTGCTGGGCTGCCTGCTGGCAGAGTTTGTGGACCTGTGGGGCTGTGGGTTAGTGTTTTGTGATTTTGACGTGAGGTCATGCGCTTGGAGGGCGCGGGCGTGCAAGAGGGGTTTTGAGGCGGCCGTTGACAGCCTTGTCTTGCAGGCGGGCACAGGTGTTGTCTCCAATCCTACAGGATCGGGATAATAGCCCATGTTGTTGCACGTGTAACACGTACCTGGTTGTAGGTAACGTAAATCTTCTCGACCATGTTTGCGGTAACTTTATTGCACTCTCTTCTTCCCAGGTCAAAGGAAGAGAGAGAGGATAATGTGAAATAGGCCGGGGGGATTAAAAAGTGGTAACAAAAGTATATGGGCAAATGTCCAAGCCGAAGAGAACGAAAAAAAAAAAAAGGTGAACAAGTTGTTTTAGGAAGGTCCGGGGCGTTGACGGAGTTCACCGCGGGCGCAGTCAAATGGCGGGGGTGAAAATGTTACTGTACTAAGGTAGTAAGCAATGTACGGTACTTTGTTTGCTCGTGACGCTACGCTAGACGCTAGGAGAGAAGAAGAAGTGGGGCGGACGCTGTGGCTGCAGGGATCTCTCCCCACTCGTCAAGTGTGTGGCGCTTCAGAGCACGTACTTGTGATTTCGTCTGTGGCTGTGAACAGAACTCGACTCAAACGACACGACATGCTCACATCCACGCTGAGCGCCTCGAATGGGAGATTACGATTAGACAGACCAAGTAGAGTCCTGTTCAGGCCATGTTTCATCAGTCATTGTCCACTCTAGACCATCAATGCCTTGACTTCCTTGCTAGACATTCCCCTAGACTACCTGGAGACTGGCTGCGCTCATGATGGTAACAAGCAACGTGCAACCACAAAACATTGACCCTCTCATCATTTCTACGAGGCGGCCCAACTCAGGCAAAGGTTTGGTTTGTTAGAGGCAATGGCCATGTCCACATTAGATAGGTGTTGACGAGCAAGTGTGGGCAAGCACGGCCTATCCAAGAGTAGGTAACAACAGGGGTTTGATATTTGCATCTTTATTAGCACTAGCGTGGTTATATAATGTAATATATAATTCCTTCTTCCTTTTAGAGAATAAGTTCAATGAATACGTCATCTACGTTTCCCATTTCTTATAATTATATGGTTCAGACCGTACACTAGTATCCAAAGTCAAGAAGACACCTTCGGTAAAGAAAGGCCCATCTTCTTTAGGTCGGTCATTACTCTCGTCAAAACAATAGACTACAGCTGCACTGTCGAAACTGCGTACGAGATAGCTACCATTGCTGCATGCGCGATAGTCGTCACGGCCGGGACGGAATCTTTTCCCAGGCCTCGGAATAGAGAGGAAATGCTGTTCATATCCACTACCAGACGTAAGCTCAACCATGTCCCCTCGAGGATGGATATCCCTTTCAGGTTCATCGTTTGGACGCTCGCTTACCTTGTATTGCCGACCATATATGCATCCGTGGCCATGTACATCATGCTGTCAGGGATGTTTTGAACGTACGGCTCTCCAGGTTTGAAGTAGACATCATTCCACCACCCTGTCGAAGAAGGACTCCATGATCGTTCGCTAGTGGGATTGAATCTGTTCAGATGTTCGTCAAACTCTACCCAGAGCTCCAGGTCTTGGTCGAAATGTTCATCATACTCTTGCCGTCGCTTCTCGTCTTCCGGGCCATCACAAGCCACTTCGAGGGTGAAATGGCCCTGTTGATCGACTGGGACAAGGCCGTAGTTCTTCCTGTAATCACAGATCAATCTTATCTCCAGAAAATGGGAGTCAAGAGGTAGGGAAGAGCGATCGAGACACACTCCGTCATAGCTGAACCGACTGCTGACTATAGGGCCGAGTTGGAGCGCCCTCTGAAGCCCAAACGTGCGAGACCCAGGCTGAATCTTTGCCATTACATTACAGGCCCAGGCGTGAGTGATAATTATGATGCTAGACGTCTTGGGCTGAAGTAGAAGCCGAGTGGACCGTACTAGAAATTCCTTTGCTTCAATATAGTCATAACTAGAGACGATGAGCCGAGTTTGGTCAACGGAGACACTGCGATTGCAAAGATTCCGTCGCGTGCCTCCACAGTTGCATTGGAACGGCCAACTTACTAAGGAGGGCCGAGTTCCACGTCGTCTGGAATCTGAGGGTTCGTTTCGATTACAAAAGTCTGCCCATGTTGACTGTCAAAGTGCCAGATGTAGACAGATGTCTTCTCAGCACCCACGGCAGCGCATGCAACAGTGCGTTCGCGGCAAGTTGCAGTCTTGAGATAATCTTGACTTGGCACCTTGAATTGCTTGAAACCTTCCCCATGAAGCTCCCAGACATAACACTTGTGCGTAAATGTCATCAAAGCAACAATGTCTTCTGAGGCTGTAAAAGAGTGCACTTGTTCTCGCGCATCTCCTCTCAATTTCCGGAAGTTCCATGAGCGCAAGTTTAGTAGACAGATGCAATCTCCTAAGCGTGTACCGTCATATGGATGATCTTCTGGAATCCATAGGAGCGTATCCTCGACCAGGGTCGGGGACACGATGGACCGATCAAATTCAATCATGAAGTGACTGCATGGTTTGCCGGTGCGGAATGCGTGGATCCTCTGGGCCATTCGTGTACAGGTTGCAGAATCGAGATGATGAAGAGACATGGTATCGCGATACCAGTTGTGAAGGCCTACCTTGCGTACAGCGAGGCTTTCCATGATGGACTGCCATCGTCTCGATACCTGGGGTGGATAGTCAGTGGTTCGCGCGTGGCCATTTTGTGAATGAGCGACGGGTGCTGGATATACTGTACGTACGCGCTGCAGAGAGTAGGGCTGGGCAATGTCCAAATAGCCGACTATTAGAGCGACGATTTCATGGGGGAGTTGACCGACAATGTCAAACGGAAAGGTATGTTGACTGAGAATGGCATGCAAAGCGCGCCACTCGTGAGATGTCAGCTCTCCTACTAACGTGTCCAGGGCATGTCGTCGATCGAGAGTCGTATCCAAGGACCGAAATGCCTCGATGAAGCGGGATATTTCCATATTGGGAAATGAGACGTCGAGCCGAAGTAGGGGCGTTGTCCAGAAGGAGAGACAGTTTCTTGACAGGGTAGGTAGTCTGTATGTAGTCTGTAGGTAATCTGTAGGTACAGTGGTATGTAGGTACAGTAGGTAGGTATTGTATTGTATTCAGGGCTATTGATGTGGGCTGCTGACTCGCGTGCCTGTTAGCGCAGAGCGCGTCGGTGCGTGTGACACGACTCACTCGGCTGTTGTTACGGTCCGTCCGGTTCCCTGTGCGGCAAACAAAGGCGGCGGGTGGGAGCAAGCTACTCTACTACATACTACTCTACTACTCTAGCCAGTCATGAAGATGGAAAACGGGACACTTTGAGGGTCGACACGGCAGACGTGGTCGGTGAGGAGAAAGAGGAGGAGGTGGTGGAGGAGGAGGAGGAGGAGAAGAGGGGATTCGGTATGCGCTCTTCGTGGTTACTAGATACTACGA